TGAGGTTAATTTTGCTGAAATTGCTCCTCTACCAATAGGTTGGATTGATAATGATGTAGTTTATGAGGATTGGGGACCACAAGATAGGGTAGGCCAGAATGGTAACAATGAAGTTAATGAGGGAGAAGAGGAAGGTAACATAGGGAACGTAACCCAAGATAGGCCAATTGGTGGTAATAAGGGTAAATTTGGAAATTCATTTGAAAGAGGTGAATGCAGTAATAGAGGTGGCTGTGAAGAAGAGTGTTCTATTGATGATTGGAGCTCAACAGATGAAGAAGCAGATCCTGTTGATGGTAGTGACAGAGATGATGATGAAGCCATTGCTGTGAAGGCTACTGCAAGGTCTCTAAGGAGACCAACAAAAGGATTAGAAGTTCCTCCAGGTTTTGAGGGTTCAAAAACAAGGGTTAGGTACAAAACTGTTGCAAAGAAACCAACTCCTAGATATACTCCCACAAAGAAAGCAACAGATCCAACCTCAACATCTACAAGCAAAGGGGTTCCAATAGATCTTGTTGAGAAGGCCAGAAGCAGAAAGGAAAAGGCCAAGCTTGCAGAGAAGAGGTATAAAACATTACCACAAGGTAGGGAGTCTTACAAGGGGAAGGACTTAACCCCTAAAAAAGGAAAGAAGGGAGATCCGACACATCCATCCTAATCAGTTCCAGTTGATAATGATGAGTGCTAATACAGTGATAATGATGGGAGAGATAGTGAATATGCTCCAAGTGATGATGCTGGCAAGTTGAGGGACTCATCAACAGATTCTGAAGATGACATTTTTCCTGCTCCTAGGGCAGCAGATAGACCAAGAAGAGCTGCAAATGTCTACTTTAATCCTGCTTGGGATGTCCCTATTTTTGAAGTTGGAATGAGGTTTCAAAGTTCCAAACAATTCAAGGAAGCAGTCAAACGTTATTCTGTGAGGAAAGGATGTCCTCTTATACACATTAGGAATGAACCTAAAAGGCAAAGGTTTGTTTGCAAGTCTGGTTTGTGTAGCTGGGAGATTTATGCTTCATTTGAGAAAAGGGACGACGGTTGCAAGGTAAAGAGTTACTACCCTGAACACACTTGCTTTAGAAATCCTAACAACAAGATGATGACTTGTGAGATGGTGGCTGAGTACTTTAAAAGTAGAATTTATGCCACTCATTTCATAAAATGTAAAGACATGATGACATTTGCTTATAATGAGCTTAGGGTAAATGTCAACTTCAAGAAATGTGAAAAGGCAAAAAGAATGGTTTTAAAGGAGATGGAAGGAAATTACAGAGATGAGTATGCTATGATTAATGCGTTTGGGATGTATTTGAAAGAAGTAAACCTTGGGAACTCAGTTTTTATTACAACTGATGAGAATTCTGCTGGTAAAAGAGTGTTTAGTAGGATGTATGTGTGTTTGAAAGCAGTTAGTGATGGTTGGAAAAAAGGATGTAGACCAATCTTTGGGGTTGATGGTTGTTTTCTTAAGGGAATATGCAAGGGCATATTGTTATTTGCTGTTGATAGAGATGGAAATAACCAGATGTACCCAATTGCATGGGCTGTCGTTGAGTCAGAAAACAATGATTCTTAGCAATGGTTCATGGAAAAAGCTTGTAAATGATTTGGAGTTGGGCGATGGACATGGTTACACCATGATTTCTGATAGACATCCAGTAAGTATTTATCACAATTATTATTAAATTTTTATGATTAGGGACAATATGTGTTTGTTATAATAATTACGTGCATATTTAATTGTGCAGGGCGTTATTAATGCAAAGGCAGAGGTATTACCATTGATTTGGCATAGATATTGTGCAAGGCACTTCTACTGCAATCTTGCAAGGCGAAATAGAGGTGATGACATCAAGCTTGCATTTTGGTTGGCATGTAGGGCAACCAATGAGTTCGACTATCTGGACAAAATGGATGCTTTGAGGGCGTTGTCTGAGGAGGCTTATGCTGAACTGAATGAACTACCTGGTAATTTCTAGTGCAAGGCCTTTTTTAATGAGTATTGTAAGTCTGATGTGGTCGATAATAATATGTGAGACTTTTAATGCATGGATTTTGGGTGCAAGATGCAAGGCCATTATTTCAATGTTTAGGACTTTAATTGACCAGCTCATGGAGAGATTTAAAGACAAAAAGTTGTTTGTTGATACATGGGCAACTAATATTGCACCTAGAGTTCTGAAGAAGATCAATGATAATAATAACCTGTCAATGAAATGCAATGTGAGGTGGAATGGTGACAATGACTTTGCTGTGTTTGATGGGCATACACAGCATACACATGTGGTCAATGTCCATGAAAGAAATTGCTCATGTAGAGAATGGAACCTCACTGGAATTCCTTGCTCATACGCTCTTTGTGCATTAAGATTCAAAGATTGGAGTTTTGAGTACTTTGTTGATGAGTACTACAAAAAGGAAAAGTACCTTCAAACTTATGGGACAGCACTAGAATGCCTCAGAGGGAACGAAGTGTTGAGAAGGAGGCCAGAAGGAGGATGTTTGCCATTGGAGATGAGATCAATGCCAGGGCGCCCTAGAAGGAATAGAAGAAGGGCAAAGGATGAGCCTTTGAAACTGAAGAAGGGGAAATTGACCAAGTTATCAAAGCATGGATCTGTGTACACTTGTAGTGTGTGTGGTGAACAAGGGCACAACAAAGCTGGATGTCCACAGAAAGACAAACAAGCAGGCCCTAATCAAACCAAGGTAACTTTGCTATTGCACTTTATTTGTGCAATGTTACACTTTATTTGACATGTTAACTTTATTGAATGGCAGGTCAAGAAAACAAGTAAAAAGAGTTCAAATCCCACACAAAAACCAAAAGCAACAAAAAAGAGCACAAAGGTTGGTAAAAAAGGTGATACTGTCTGTCTGGGAGGGGTCAAAGGAAGAACAAGAAAAGCAAAATGAAAGCTTAATGATAGTGTAAGAAAAAATAACAATATTTACTGTGTACAATTCCTTTTTTTTTTTTTTTTGTGTTTATAACTTTTTTTTTTATGTATAAGGTAATGAAATGTGCACCTTAATTTTTTCTGTTCAGTTCATGGAGGTTGCTGGCATTGTCATTGATGAAGGCAAAGCGGAAGTGCAGAACAAACAGGGTTCGAAAAGAAAGGGAAAGGATAAGGCTTGAGAAAGCATGAAGGCTGTATTTTGTTTGGCATGACTACTTTTTTGTTTATTGGCAGTGTATACAGTTACTGATTTGGCCTTTAATGTTAGGCCTTAATGTTATACTCTTATTTATGTATGAAAAATGTATTTATGTGCTAGTGAACTCTGAACAACCTATTGGTGCTATGAAGTACAATGTTCTTTTGGTTCTTTTATTTGTTACAAAATGTTTATCATCTGCTGTTATTTTACAGTTTTTAGGTTATCAGAAACCTAAGTATTTATTATTTATGTCTTGATTTACAAATAGCTTTACAAATGTAAAAGAGCCCTTTTTCCATTGCTGCATAACATATTCAATTACATTACAATGGTTTATAGGCATGTTCTCAAAGCTTCCAAAATTTTGGTCATCACATATGACCACAAAACACCAAAAGAAGGGCCATACATTTACGCTTGAAACACCACCTACCCACTTAGAACAACACCCAAAACATCAAATACACAACCATTAGAACAAAGACACCAAATACAGTATGAACCATTAATTTTTTGAGCTCAACACCAACAGAGGCTGCAATCAAGACATCAAATTTCCTTTCAACAATATCATTCATAGCATTTGCCACAGTTTTCTCAATAATTTCATCAAATTTTTGTATGGTGTCCTCATCTGTTGTAGAAATGGTGTGGCTTGACTCAACAACTGCACCTCCATTCACTCTATTTCTTAATTGCCTTCTCAATACTGAATTTTCTATTGTAAGAGCCTTTTTCTCGGTAATCAACAACTTTAGTAACTCAATGGCTCTCTCATGGGACAATTCCAAGTCATGCCAAACAAAATACGGGCACTTTAAATCCTATCACTAAACAACCTAAAGTAGTAAATAAAAATTGGAAGAAAACAACAAACAAAAGATAAGTAATATTACATTGGCTTAAGGCAGAACCCCAAATTTACCTCATTCAAGAAGTTCCGGCAACCATAAAATCGTCTCCCAATGCTCCATGGTCTCCATGAAGTCCACCTTGGTGCCTTGAAGCCACACTCACAGTACATTTGAGGACCTTCATAGTTGTGCTCAACCAACCCAACATCCCTCACAACTGTTCTCGCCATTGCACCATCACTTGCACCAGCAGAGGCTCGACCAGGTCCAGCTCCAGAATTAGAGGAAGATTCCATGCGAATAAACTCACACACACCCACAATCTTTTCCCCTCGACTAATTTCAAGAAGGAATTGTAGAAATGAGAGAAAGCCTTGTGGTTTTGTGGTTTTGTGGTTTTGAATTGAAGAAAACCCTAACCCCCATCTTTGAAAACTCTGAACTATGGGAAACAAGTTGGTCATCAAATATCGATTAAAAATGGGATAAAGAGTGGGACCCACCAGTCATATTGTCAAACAAAGGGCGCGCAAATGACACGGTGTGTGAAAAAGAGTGGAATTGGTACACATCAGCATCCAGCGTGTAAAAAAACGACACGCTGGCACGGGCTAAATGGAGATCGTGACGGTGATGACGTCACTTGTTAGATAATGATCGATTTGGGTAGATTGATACTTTTGGGGTGTCATTTGTCCATGCTTTTTTTTTTAGGGTTGGATCCGTCCCTACCCATATTTGTCGGGGGGTGATTTGAGGGTTCTGCCAAAAATATTTCCTTTAGTTTTCTTCTTCTTGTTCCTTTTTTCTCACAAGTCGTAAAATGAAAGGTAATTAACTCCTTAATTGAAAAAATAGAGTGGGTCCGCCGGCCCCTCATTGCAACGCGCTTTGGCGTCGGTGTTGGATACTTGCTCAAGTTTAGCAAAGCGCGAGCGTAGATACACTGGGCGATCGTAGATATGCTCTAGTCATGGTTTTACGTAATCCTTAATTAACTTATGTTTGGGGGCAATCTGTCTTGGTGATCAAAAAGGTCTTTTCAAAAATACTCTTAAATTAATTGCTAAATATTTTTATAAAAAAAATTTTCCTCAATTTTATTTTATTTTTTTAATTTTTAGAAGTACAGTCTGCCTCTATAGTCTATATCAATGTTTTCAAAACCGGACCAGTCATTGAACCGTTTTCAAGTCCGGTTCCTGATTTGACCGGTTCAATTGGTTGAACCAATGAACCAACCGGTTCAAACAATAAAGAAGGTTTGATGAGAGGAGCAAGCTATAGACATGGATTTTTTTATTTGGTGTTGATAATTTTGTAATTTTGTTAAAGTTAAAGGTTAAAATGGGTATAAGAAAGGAATGGGAAGGGTGAAATTGGAAAAAATTGAAAGAAGATTGCATGAGAAATTGAACCGGTGATTTTTTTGGTTCCACCGGTTCTACCGGTTTTTATCGGTTTTTGATCGGTTTTGACCTCAAACGGTTTTCTTATATGAACCGAATCGTTTTTATCACCGGATACCGGTCCGACCGGTTCAACCGGCCGGTCCGGTCCGGTTTTAAAAACCTTGGTCTATATATAATTCATTCACAATGTGACTCTTCACTAAACCAAACAAACATTGCCAACATCGTTCCTTCAAGGCTTCAATTCACTATACCATCAAGTTATCTTCAGTCTCTTTCTAGCTTTCTTAACTCTTCTTTCTGGGAAAGTTTATATTCCTCTTTCAGAGCAAAAATGGGGTTGTCTAGAAAAGTTAGATGCGACACTCACGAACAAAAATCCTCTTACTTCCTCGGATGGAAGGAGTACGAGAAGAACCCATATGATGATGTTAAGAATCCTGAGGGAATCATCCAAATGGGACTTGCAGAGAATCAAGTATAACAAATTTGTTCTTTCTTGTTAGTATTGATACATTAGATGATAATTAATTGATGAAGCACCCCACATGCAGAGTCTTAATTATTATTCTTTGTTTTGAAAATTTTTCAGTTGTCCTTCGACATTTTGGAGTCATGGCTGGCTGAAAATCCAGACGCGGCCGGATTCAAGAGGGATGAACAATCCATATTCAGAGAGTTGGCTCTGTTCCAAGATTACCATGGGCTCCCTGCATTCAAGAAGGCATTGGTAGATTTCATGGCAGAAATTAGAGGAAATAAAGTAACATTTGATCCAAACCGCATAGTACTCACCGCTGGTGCAACCTCTGCAAATGAGACTCTCATATTCTGCCTGGCAGACGCCGGTGACGCTTTTCTCCTTCCGACTCCATACTATCCAGGGTACGTTTAAAAATGACTTTAGTTTATTTCTACTTTTCCTGTTTCTATTTTGCTAAGCAACACATCCTTATACGTGAAAATTACGTTACTGAATTATGCTCTATTTTGCTTCAGATTTGATAGGGATCTGAAGTGGAGAACTGGGGCGGAGATTGTACCAATTGAATGCACAAGCTCCAATGACTTCCAAATCACTGAATCGGCTCTTGAAGAAGCTTATCAACGTGCTCACAAGCGCAACCTAAGAGTTAAGGGAGTCTTAGTCACCAACCCCTCTAACCCATTGGGCACTTCAATGAGCCGCGCTGAATTAAACCTTCTGGTTGACTTTATTTCCAAGAAGGAAATTCATTTAATCAGCGACGAAATCTATTCTTGCACGGTTTTTTCCTCTCCAGGATTTGTAAGTATCATGGAGATTGTGAAAGATAGGAAGTTGGAGAACTCTTATGCTTTTAACAGAGTTCACCTTGTGTATAGCCCCAACTTTCAGATTGGTTAATTAATCCTGCAGCATGTTTGTCTAGCAATAGAGGAGGGATTAATTGAAATATGATCTATAAGAGGGAACTAACATTGGATACCTGTTGCTTTGTATAACTTTATGGGTTGAGTACCCTTGTACTCAGTTTGATAATATTCATTTTCTTTGCTGTTCAAAAAAAAAAAGTTGGGGCAATTTACTCCAACGATAACATCATGGATACCACCACGAAAATGTCCAGCTTTGGCCAAGTTTCCTCCCAAACTCAGTATCTTCTCTCGGTAATGCTTTCCGATCATAAATTTACGAAGAATTACATTTCAGAAAATCAAAAAAGGTTGAAACAACGACAGAGAATGCTTGTTTCCGGGCTAGAGGTAGCTGGTATCGGCTGCCTGAACAAGAGCAATGCGGGGTTGCTCTGCTGGGTGGATATGAGGCACCTTCTCAGCTCCAACACGTTCGAAGCAGAAATGGAGTTCCGGAAGAGAATAGTTTATGATGTCAAGTTAAATATCTCTGCGGGTTCTTCATGTCATTGCACGGAGCCAGGCTGGTTTCGAGTGTGCTTCGCTAACATGTCCGAAGAAACTCTGAGGGTCGCCATGCAACGGATGAAGGTTTTTGTGGAGTCCATCTCCCATGTCTGCAGTCAGAGCAATCATCAAGCTTTGAATAACTCAAGACGGCAGAGGCCGCTCACCAAGTGGGTTTTCCGGCTACCTTTCCAACATGACCGTGAGCCGGAGGGACGGTAGTCTGGCAGACGTCATCATGTGAATCATTGTCACGTGTGAAGACATTGTTATACTTGATTGTTCAATATTAATAGAAAACAGCCAACGAAACTAAACTAAATAGTTAAATGGTTTTTTTTTTTTTTTTTTTTGAGAATAAAAGATTTTGAGTTGAGAATAAGAGATTTTGAATTCAATTCATATGATATACAAATAAAGTAAAATAAAAAATGAGATATGATTGCTTTTTATTGTGTAACTAATATAAAATATATATATTAATAAAAAATAAATACTTGTTCAAAAAAAAATATTAATTGGAAATAAATATTTCCTACTTCTATGTTATAATTTATTTGCGTGTGTTTTACGTATATATTGTATGTTGCTTGTATTATAATTTATAATTAACACTACTACTATTATTAGTACGTCCGTATAATCACAAATATTTAACTAGAGAAAGATAGACGTGTGAATACGCGTAAGTTCCCCAGCGAGATCACCGGTGGCGGTGGAGACGGTGACATCTGCTGCTGCCGACGGGGGCGGGTGGCGGGTACCATATATCTCCAATTTACTCGGTCAACCGACCTTATCATTAGCTTGGCATTTATGATGATCCCCTAATCGTTGTCTAAGCCGGATGAGAAGGAAGAAATAGCTCCCTCCCACTCAGAACTTTTATGTATTTTTTTGCTTTTACGTTCTCTTAATTTTGTGTGGTGAGTGTTGAATGCTCCAAAGTGCCAAAAGGCATATATAGGCGTGCTTCTTTGGGGTTTCCAAAAATAGCCTTTTCCTCTAGGTTTGAAAATGGAGATATAGCTGAGAAATGAATTAATCCACACGGCCAACGAGTTTACTGTTAAAATTGGATATTTGAAATGTTAAGTTCAAATCTAAGACATACTACATTGAGAAAGAGAAGGGCTACCACAAAAAAGAAAAAAAAAAAAATTGGTTAAATATTTAAAGATTAAAATCTACAATTTCATAATTATAAATTCAAACCATCATATTTACAGGTGTTTTATATTTAATTCTATTACGATCATAAAAAAATAAAAATAGCCAAGTCCCCTGTGCACATCAAACAAGAATTATTTAAAACTCTTTCAATAACCCAACTTCGTGTGCTATTAAAAACATTAATAAGGGTCCTCGCAGATAAAAAAATATTACTAGGGGTCCTTTTTTAATGGTATTAAACTACTATTAATAGTAAGAGTCCTTTATTTTAAGTTTTCCATTATCCGCGGTTACACCGGTCACAACGGTCCGTGATCCTTACATGCGATGACTGACGAGTAGTTTTATGCTTGTACTCATTAATAAATAAATTAAGAATGATGGTAAATGAGATAAAATTTTAAAATTAATAATATAATATAAATGATATGATTTAAAATATTAAAAAAAAATTTATATTATTTTATACTTAATTTTTTATTTATTAAGATATGCAATATCATATATATTAACTAACCTAATAACATAGTATGTCTTTTTTATTATTACTCATAATTAAATCAAGTCTTTGTTTTGAAATTTTGAAACTAATTATTATTAATTAATAACTTTAATTGAATGAATTAGATATTATGATATGAATTATAAATAATGATAATGTATTATGTACTAATTATCAATTATTAATTAAATTTAAACAATTAATCTTAACACTTTCTAAATAATTTAGAAACCAAAGTAGGAACATTGCTCCATCTTCGTGATCTTGTCTTGTTTAGTGAGCATGCAATTTATCTGTCCTATTTATCAAATTCATGTTCACAATTAATAATTTAATATCATATGCACCAAACTCTAAGCTTAAAAAAAATTAGTCTTAAATGCAATATCGAGGCACATGTAAATATTGGTTAGAGTATGTTTATCACATTGAATCTGTCTGCATAATTAAAAATTATAATTATATATCGTCCTACATTAATATATAAATAAAGCGATCTGCATTGACTATCAAAAATAGAAAACTAGGTTAATTGATCAGTTGGTAAGTTTTCATAATCGATTTTTCGGTTATTATGGGCGGCGGATCGAATCCGGATCACACCAATTTCAAGTTAGGAGAATCCTCAGATCTCTAAAATGGAAATCTTTAATTTAATCAGACAAATGCCATTCCAGCCATAAGAGCAAGTGAAACCAGTTTTCACCAGTCTCATTTTGCTGGGAAAAAAAGAAGCATGACAGGTTAATAAAACAGTTTTTAAGGGTCTAATGATTTGGATTTTGATGCAGACTTTTGAAGAAATATCACAAACATGATTAAGAAAGCAGTGTCTTCATAACTCCTTAGACACCAACATTTCAATTAAACTATATCTACTCACCTCTGTAATGTCTGCTTGAGAGAGATCATAAGGACAATTATTGACAAGAAAGGTAGAAAGCATAATGTTTCATCTTAATATTGATATTGATTCATCTTTTTATACACAATCTAAATTAACATCAAACATGTGTATGCATGTCCAAGAACTTTTCCTGCAACATTTCAGAAACAGTTAAACATCAACCATAAAATTAATTGGTAACAGATAAAAAAGCTTGTCTTATATTTATAAATTACTGTGGGGTTTTTTAGTTACCAAAAACAATTTGGAAGTTATTTATTTTCTTCAATTTGAATTGCACGATGACAAAGTTGATTACGTGGGTATGGGAGGCTGGTGGGAATCACATGAGGAAGGGCAGAGCAGCACAGGCATGAGGGGATGCACTCCCCTTGGGTGCTGCCTAGGCTGATGGCTACACGAGGGTCCCTACCAACATGAGACTGCCTCCCCAAGCTGATGCCCTGAACCGACTTCCCATACCAACAAAATTTTAGTATCCTCAATATATTTGGGTCCCAGATATGAGATTGCTGTTTTGTTGGGATTTTTCATTTTGAATGATTGAGGAGGAATCACAGAGTTGCTCTTCTTGTTCTTTGTCTTCTTATAAATAGGCTAACATAATGGGAAATTAAAATAAAACTGAAATTAATTCGTGAATTATATTTTATTTTTCAAGCCCATACTTTTAAACTTAAAAGTTGCTTAATGATCAAATTTGTTCAATATTAAATCAATTGGAATGCAATTATAGACAAAATTATATACTAATTGTGATTCTAGACCCTGATCACTTAATCCTCCTTTGAGTCAAACAAAATATATTTTCTATTTCTATAGGATATATAGAATTTTCTGTTTAATTTCTATAATTTAAATGTTAGCTTATGAGCTAGTAATTGTGCACATTGAAGAAATATAATGAGAATATAAAACAAATAAATATATGGAGATCCTTAAACCTAAAAGTTAAATTTAATTGAACTTTTTTTTTTTTATGGAAGTTTAATTGATCTTTTACATTTAAAATGATGTCTTGTGCGGTAACGACCTGAATAACTTAATAGTTATAAGTTCGAATCGTATGATATGGAGGTGAGATAAGATAAACGATAAAAGATGATTGCTTCTCATTGTACAAACAAGATAAAAAAAAAAAAAAAGAGAAAAGAAATGATCTATGTTTATTCAACTTTTAAACTTATTTAAGCTTTCCTGTTTCAGTTTTCCACACGAGTGTTATTATCACCAATGGCGTTTTTTATTTTTAGACCTTAGTTATTCACGCTCCTATTGATTCAATCTCTCCACATTAAATCATAATAATATTTCAATCACATTACTGGTGTAGTGGTAAGGGTTGAATGATATGATATTTTGGTTTTGACTCGATCTAAACCCTATCACTTCAATATCACGTCTTTTAATATGTAGTTATAATTTAATTACCTTGTTCAACAATATCAAAATAATATTATAATACTAAGGTAATAAAATAAGTTTTTTATTTTGTAATTTAATGCAAGATAATAATTTTTATTTTATAATCTAAACTGTATAATATTTTTTATCATCAAGCTGTGTGAATAATTTTCATAATATAGAAATTATTAAAGTTAGAACTACCTATATACAAATACAGATACCAGACTGGGATTTTCTTTCTTCTTCTTCTTCTTTTTAACAGCCACTTCCAAGCGAGAAAATGTAGCTTCTAGGTTGGTTCCATCTGCATTGGGTGCAGAAAAGCAAAGGATTCTCGACAATTTTTCCAAAGGAAATCAAACATAGAATTGAAATATCTGGATAGGGGAAAAATTATTCACTTTTAAAGCCCACGGGTTTTGTTGGAAAGTATGTTTGTGTTAGGGTCTTTATGAACAAAAAGATCAACCTTTTCCAAAATCCGATTCATGCTATGGCCTTTACGAACACCATGCACGACTTCTTGCTAGTTTCACTTGTGTCACTTTCATGTATTTGGGGGATCGGTCGTCAACAATTTTCTAACCCAAAGATCTCTTCTCTCTCTCTCTCTCTCTCTCTCTCTATATATATATATATTCTATATATAATTGTCACACTTAAACTTGAATGCAGCTCAAAAGTGAAGAAATGCTTACAAAATTTTCTTAAGTACCACAGTAAGGGAATGCATCATATATAAATTGTTTTCCAATTCTAAGGATATGGGTCTATCTAAATGATGAATCTGATGCTCGGTGCATCGAAAGTCCTTTATCGAAAAAGTAGTATGATTATGAGTAATATATAAGTATTAATTGTTAAAATTAATTATGTATTATAAATATTACTTTATTGATAATATGTGACATGATATTACTCTTTTTATTTTAAAATAATAAATTTTTTTAAAATTTTATTTTCAAGATTTGTAGATGATTTTTATTTTTACTTATTTTATTTTTTAAAAAAATAAATAAAATAAACTTTTGTATGATAGGATATATAATTAAAGTTAAAAGATAATTATAAGATTAGAATAGAAAAAAGTATATTTTTCTCCTCTTTTTTTTCCTTTTGAGATAAAAGGGATCAATTATTTCTTAATAAATTTTTCTAAAATAACTCAAGTTAAGAGAATAATTAATATATTTTTTTGATATTAAATAATATTAAAAATAACAACAGTTGACATTAACTTCATTATCTATATTACATGTATCACATTTTAATTAAACAATTGATTAAATTAATATTAATTTTTATTTTTTCAATAACAATTA